TGATGATCTCATGGTTCGTGGGTTCGAGTCCCGCATCGGGCTCTGTGCTGACAGCTCAGAGCCTGAAGCCTGCTTCAGATTCTGTGTCTCCCTCTCTCTGTCCCTCCCCTGCTCATGCTCTGTGTGTCTCTCTCTCAAAAATAAATGAACATTTTAAAAAATGTTTTTAAAAAATTTAAAAATAATAAAATGGTCCATGCATAGAGTACTTTCCAGCCTTCTTTGAAATGTGAACAAAATATCTGCAGATTTAAATGTTTTAGTTCAGAAAAGTCCATTAGTAGTATTTGTATTGCTACTAAGTACCAATAGTAAATGGTACTAATTAAGGAGGTTTTATTAATCTCTGAATCTAGGGGACAGAGGCGTCGTGCTGACCCTGGGTGGCCAAAGCGTGCCAGGGAGCTAAAGGTTCATCTAGAAACAGCTGCGGGGACAGCCGGGCATAAACGGTGGCCTCAGGGTGGAGGCTGTTCCTGGGACAGCCAGACTGCCCAGATGGCCTTTCCAGAGCTGGGAGACGCAGACTTGTCACTGAGGTGGAGGGTAAAAATAGTCCTGTGTAGGCGGCCGCTGGGCCCAGAGGCACCAGCTTCCTGGTCCCCAGAGCAGAGAAGGCAGTAAGCTCTGGAGGCCTCCCCCGAGCTCTGGGGGCTGGGGTAGGGGTTTGTTCCCTAACAATGAAGCCCACCCCCCACGCCCATACACCAAGTATTGGAAAGAGAGTTAGGTTTTAAGGTAGAGAAGGGCTTAAATCCTGGCCTTATCAGGTACCAGCTCTGTGTCCTCAGGCAAAATGTCTCTCCTTTCTGAGCCTCCATTTTCTCATCTGTCAAAGGGGGCTAATGATTTCTCACTATTTGGTTCCTGTGACACTTACAGAACAAAGATAGCTAACATATTTCCCTCTACAGCCTCCCTCTTCTACCCCTCTCCCTCCCACACGTTTCCCCCTGCCCAGAGCATTCTTCAAGAGGGGGCTCTGTGGAAAGGGCTCTGTGGGCAGAAACGGAGGCCTCAAGAGAAGAGCTGTGGTGGGGAGCCATCTTGGAAGCCGATCCTTTACCCCTAGGTGAGCTTTCAAGTGACTGTGTCCCTGGCCAACCCCTTGGCTACAACCTCACAAGAGACCCTGAGCTAGAACCACCCAGCGAAGCTGCTTCTGGCTTCCTGGCCCTCAGAAAACTGTGAAATCATAAATATTTGGGGGTGAGCTATGATGCAGCAATAATAACGAACAGGTTTGCTTTTGGGGGCTATTATGAGAATTGAGACAGTGCACTTCAAATAGCAAGTAGACCTACTGGGACGAGTGGCTCCAGAAAGGGCAGAAGGCAGGAGGGAGCGGGAGACAGGAAGCCTCTGTCCAGGACCGTGCCAGGAAGGCTCCTCCTCCAGAACTCTCGGGAGGAGTCTGAGAGACCAGCTACACAGACAGTCGGCACACTGCCTAAAAACAGAACTCTGACCCCTTACCTGCGGCACCAGCAGAGGAGGGAACCCACTCTCTGCTGCCGTGAACCTGGGAAGCCAAAGCGCTCCCGTGTCGTAGTTAGTCAGTCCAAACACAGCCGACACTTGACAGCAGCTGACAGCTTCCCTCATTTTGCCCTTGCTTCCAATGCAGGACAAATGGGAAAAAGTCAAACCTGCTCCCCGAACCCAATCACATAGGCCACCCCCCTTTCTAGTGAGCACTCCGACAGCTTCTATGCCAACAGCCTCTGATCAGAACCTGAGGCCTTCCATCTCTCCCACTATGAAACTTTCCTATTCCTCTGCTGGCCTTCAATTCTCTTCCAAACTCAAGCAGCGGTGGCTGACTCTCCTGCAGTAGCAAGCCCTGAACACACAACCCTTGCTTGTGCTCACTGAGGTGGTCTTGGTTGACTTCCACAAGCCCATGTTCTCTCTCTCCCTTCCTGACTGCAGGTCGAAAAAACATCTTCCATTTCCCCGCAGGTAGCCACAGAAACCAGCTCGAGGATGATGGAAGAGACGGGCATGGGAATAACTAAGAACGTAGCTATGGGACGGGACAGATCTGGGCTCAAATTCGGGCTCTGCCACTTAACTAGCCATGTGATCTTCAGTAAGCCAATTAACTACTCCGAGCCTTTGTTTTCTCATGTCAAGAGGACAGTCTAGTGGAACCCAAAGGCTGGTGTAAGAACGGGAAGGTAATATATTCAATGCACTGAGTGTATACAGTAGGTGCTTAATAAAGGGAAGGTCAGCCAACTGTCTCCTCACAGCCTCCTGCTGGAGTAGGCAGGCCCCTGTATCCCACCTTTACTCCTCCCACCCCTGCTTTCTGTGCCACAGGCAGCCTGACCTCAGCTGGATGGAGTCGAGAATATGCGCTCCACGTCCAGAGTATATTCAAGGTCAGGGGTTGGTCTCAGAACGATGGACAAAGGACATAACCAAGCATTTCTCTAAAGAAATCAAGGTTAAAAGCAGGGAACAAAATATCTGATCAGAGACCTGCTGTCTCCCTCTTCTACACTGGCTCTGGGGGTTATCAGGGCAGAGAGACTCTGCCCAGAAAATTGTGAGTGTCCTTGTCCCAGGTGGCTTCTCCAGGACAGAGGACGGTGAGCAGGTATTCCCCTCGGTCTCTCCTGTGTGTCTGTGTGTATTTACATGTGTCAGTTTCTTCATCTTTAAATATTTTTAAGTAGTTATTTGGAGAGAGGCAGAGACAGGGTGAGCAGGGAAGGGGCGGAGAGAGAGGGAGAAGAGAGAGAATCCCAAGCAGGCTCCTCCCTGCCAGCACAGAGCCGGATGCGGGACTCAAACTCACGAAACTGTGAGACCGTGACCCAAGCCAAAACCGAGAGTCCGACGCTTAACCGACTGAGCTACTCAGCCACCTTCTTCATCTTTAAAATGAGAAATTTAATAGCTTCGCAGGAGATACACACACACACACACACACACACACACACACGTGAATTCATTCTAGTGGTGGAGTAGTGGCTTTGAGAAGCTCTATGCTGGGGGCATCCCGAGTAACTTCACTCCCACTTGCCAAGTCCTTTCCATCCTCAGGTCTTGCCCTCCACCACCACGAGCGAATCCAAGCCTCCCACAACATCTTTTGCCTGGACTATGGAAAAGACTCCTAGATGCTTTCCTTCCTTCTCCACAGCTCAACAAATGCAGATTATGCAAGGATGAGAAGCCATCCCACATCCCATAAACATAGGCAAAGACTTTTAAAATAATGACAATAACCAGGATTGGGGGCAATGCCCCCCCTTCCCCACAGGGCTGCAGTGTAAATCTCTAAATTTCTGCAGAGCAATTTGGTAGGATGTCATCTTTGGATTCTGTGGGTCCATTGTTCAAAATATAAAGAAAGAATTAGTTTCTGCACAGACTTTGATACAGGCTCTTTATGGTAATGTTGGTTCTGATGCAAAAAAGGGGGCAGGCAAATAAAATATCCAAGAATAAACATTTTCCTAACAGTGTGGAGATTCCTCAAAACATTAACAATAGAACTCCCCTATGACCCAGCAATAGTACTGCTAGAAATTTACCCAAGGGATACAGGAGTGCTGATGCATAGGGGCACATGTACCCCAATGTTCATAGCAGCACTCTCAACAATAGCCAAAACATGGTAAGAGCCTAAGTGTCCATCAACGGACTAATGGATCAAGAAGATGTGGTTTATCTATACAATGGAATACTACACGGCAACGAGAAAATGAAATCTGGCCATGTGTAGCAACGTGGATTGAACTTGAGGGTTTTATGCTGAGCGAAATAAGTCAGGCAGAGAAGGACAGATACCATATGTTTGCACGTATAGGTGGATTAGGAGGAACTTAACGGAGGACCGTGGGGGAGGAGAAGGGGAAAAATAGTTGGGGAGAGGGAGGCAAACCATGAGAGACTCTTGAATGCTGAGAACAAACTGAGGGCAGATGGGGTGGGGAGAAGGGGAGGGGGTGATGGGCACGGAGGAGGGCACTCGTGGGGATGAGCACTGGGTGTTATATGGAAACCAACTTGACAATAAACTATTTAAGAAAAAAAATAAACATTTTCCTTAAATAAATGGTAACAGTCTCTACCTTGAAACACCATTCCTTCACTAAAAATTATATTACAGATCAGTAGTACTCAAAGCAGGACCCAGAAGCAGCAAGAGCAGCACCCGCGAGTGTATTAGTAACGCACATCCTGGGGCCCCCAACCCCGACTTAATAAGTCCTCCAGACTATTCAGAACCACTGTTGTAGTTGAATATCTAGCACTACGAAAAGATACACAATTAAATGACAAAACGTTGCAAAACAACACGAACAAAACAGTAGGTACTAACAGTGCCTCTCTATTCGAATCAATGTGTTGAGACACGCAAAGAAAAAAAGCCCAAGGTGGTAACATCGACACTCCGGGTGGTAGGATTTTGAGGTTTTAGATTTTTTTCATTTTGCTAATCCATACTTTCTAGTTTGCAATGGTGCGTTTTTGTAAAAAAGAATGGAGAGGATGAAAAAAAGACCTCAATAACTTCTTTTTGAATTATCAGATGGGGATGGCGTGGGAAGGACGAAGAGAGCACGCCCCGCAGCCACACAGCCTTCAGCCTGGGGACAGCAGGGAGAAGTGGGTAGGCGTTGCGGGACCGCTCCGCACCCAGCGCCACCGCCCCAATGGAGAAGGGAGAGAGGGGAGGGCAGCCAACGCCGCAGGTCACAGCTACTTCTCTGATGTCCTCAGAGGTTTACTGGGAGCCAAAGAGCGGAGAAGAGATTTAGGGCAGACTTCAGGAAGAACTGAAGCGCTCCGAGTACCGAATTCCGGAATGGGCGTCTTGGGGAGATTTTCCAGCCCGGAACCCTCAGCCACTGCACCGGGTGCTGGACCTTCGCCCGCCCAAGGACTCGGGGGGCGCTGCGGGGTCCTGCGCGCGGGTAGGGAGAGGAGGCGGGCGGGCGGACGGGGGCGGGGCCGTTGCTAGGGGAGGGGCGGCGAGGCGCGCGAGCAGCGCCGCCAGCCACCGCGACTGGCGCTCGGCTCTCCGGCTCCAGCTCCCGCGCAGCCTGTTGCTCGGTCCTCCGGGCCGCCGCTTCCCGCCCGGGGCCCGGGGCCAGGCGGCCCGAGGGGTGTCGGCGCTCGGGCGGCCCCCCGCCTTCCCCTCTCCCCGCGCGCGGCTGGACCCCAGCATCACCGGGAGCGCGGGCGCCGGCCAGCCTCCCCGTGCGCCCCGGCCCGCGCGCACAGACCCTAGGCGCCGAGCCGCGATGAACGCGACCTTCCTGAACCACAGCGGCCTGGAGGCGGCGGGCGGCTTGGGCGGCGGCGGCGGGGCCACCCTTGGGAACCGCAGCCACGGGCTGGGCACGTGGCTGGGCTGCTGCCCCGGGGGCGCGCCGCTGGCAGCCAGCGACGGGGTCCCCGCGGGGCTGGCGCCCGACGAGCGCAGCCTGTGGGTGTCGCGCGTGGCGCAGATCGCTGTGCTCTGCGTGCTGTCGCTCACCGTGGTCTTCGGCGTGTTCTTCCTGGGCTGCAACCTGCTCATCAAGTCGGAGAGCATGATCAACTTTCTAGTGCAGGAGCGCCGGCCCTCCAAGGACGTGGGCGCCGCCATCCTGGGGCTGTACTGAGGCCACCCTGGCCCGCCCCCACCAGCCCGGCCGCAAGCGGACGAGAAGGGGGACGCGGACCTTCGTGCCCCGCCGGGGCTCTGCCGCCGCCGCCCAGCGCTCGGCGCGAGGATCAGCAACTGGTCTCGGGGCGCCCCGGTCAGGGGACACCGCGGGACTCGGGGCGGTGGCGCGGGAAGGGACTTCCACACCCGGCTCGGTCCAGCGTGCGCCTCAGCGTGGCCGGGTGGGAGAGGTCGTGGGAGGCTGCTTGGGGCTGAGGTCACGTGCGTGGGAGTTGTGTGTACGTGGACGCGGCGGCGTGCGGGTGAGTTGCGGGGCGGGGAAAGTTGATGAATCTGAAGCCCTGAGCTTGTTGGCTGGATTTTGCATTTGAAAAAAACCGTTGTAATAAAACTGTTGCCGTCGGGCTTCCAGCCGCTTCCCATTCGCAGCTCTGCGCTGTGTGTGTGTGTGTGTGTGTGTGTGTGTGTGTGTGTGTGTTGGGTGTGTTGGGTGTGTTGGGTGTGTTGGCTGGGGCAGGGTGGACGGTCTGTGTACCTCACAGGCCGGTTGGCCGCCTGACTGCGAGGCTATGGGAGTAGGTCGGGGAGGGGGCTCCCAAGACCCCACTTGGAGGAGGCCAGGAGGCCCTAGTCCTGGAGGGGAAAGGGCTGGCTCTGCAGGGGTGTGGTCAGACAGCTGGGGGCATTATTTAAATCTCTGGGAAATTTGGATCTATTCTGTAAGATAGGGGAAAAAAAAAATCAGTGACAGGTGCAAAAGGGAACAGCAAAATTAATATATCAGAACAGTGAATAAATAAAATTTAATGGGGGGGAGCTAGATCTAGTTAAATTACAAGGCCAAAGCCTCATCTCAGGGCTTGTTTGGACACCATCCTTCTAGTGTGGAGGAGGAAGAGTGGCGGAAATGCCCTTGCTGCCTAGGGAGAGGGGAATGCAAGTTTGGGAGAGGGGTTTGTGGTGCGAAGGACCCAGGATATTTAAAATGCAGAAAACGACCTCCATATGCAGCTGTATTCAGGGAATTTCCAATCTCCCATTATGAGATTCCCCCTGTTGCCCAGAACCCAGCCAACTCTTGCAGATGTGGAATTAGAGTAAAGCAGTGTTAAGGGGCTGGAAAGATGCCACTCACCGGCCGGCCAAGGGAGAGTGGGTGGCTCTGCTGCCTGGAAGTGTCTGATCTGGGGGAGGTCTAAAACCGGGGAGTAGGCAGACAGGAGGAGAGGGCGCTGGGCTTCGGAGCCTCTGTATATCCCCCCCAGCCCTAACCCCACGCAGGCATCTCGGTGCTTGGAAGATTTGGAGGGAAAGGCACTAATGAGATGTCTCCTTCTCTCTTTTGCCAAGGGTGGGAATGAAGGTGAATGAGAAGGAAGATAGCTGAAGCCTCTCTGGGCTTTGGGAAGAGAAGCAAAGGGAACCCTACCTACTGTCTTCAGCACTAGTTCCAGACCAAGAGAGGGGGCAGTATCTCAACAAAAGCATAGCTAGTCTCTAACACTGAAGAATCCAGAATCTTGCCGGCCCCTGAACCCTCCTTTGTAGTCAGAATCATCATCCCTCCCCGGCCCGATGTCAGAGCTGAGAGAGTTCATCCACTTCCACAGGCCAGGCCAGTAGAGACGAGGGGCCAGAGACTACTTGTGAAGCGTCCACGGGGCAAAACCCACATTGGGGAGTGTGTTCTGTCGATGGTTCGGACAGGCAGGTAGCCCAGCGGATCTGGGGAGAGCGGCCTTTCGTGACTTGGGCAGGGCAGCCTGGGTCCCCAGCCTCGTGTAGCCCAGGTGTCTGGAGCCCGGGCTGACCCGACACATGGAGAACGCAGCTCAGACAGCCGCAGGGGGGTCGGTAAAGCCCCGAACGACTGGCAAATGGGAGTTTGAGGAGGGACAGAGGCTTGGACACTTTTCTGGCTGACCGAATTAGAGGTAACACTGTGAGAACCTTCCTCTAAGGACATGGCTCTGCTACTGACCCGGGCAAGAGAAGGGGATTCAAGAGTTCAGGGTCCTGAATACGCTAAAGGGAAAGCACTGGTGGGGAAGCCTTGTTCTCACTGTAAGAAAGAAAAAGGCCGATGAAGACATGTGGGTGTCCTCGCATGCGTGTTGGTGTCCTCGATGACTGATACACTCACGTGTTCAAATCGCACACACGGGGACGCTCAGGCGCACATGTGCACGAGTGTCTGCTCGTACATGCGGGCACAGTAAGACAGGCTCAGGCCTCAAGGAGGACAGCAGAGGGTGAGTGGGGTCCTGGGAAGGGGCGGGGGGTGAGATCACATTTGTAGCCTTAGTCCCACCCAGGCCCTGATGTCGGCCCTCGGTGTGTTTGCTGAGCTGTCTGACATAGAGCGTGGGGGCGGGGGTGGGAAACCCTGAGTTACCTAAGAGCATATGAGGCCTAGTGCTCCAGGGGGAAGGTGAGGCTGGATCAGAATCCTGAGCTTGGAGGATGGAAGGGGGTGCTGTATCAACCAAGCCCTTCCCCACCCCCACTTTTGGGCAGAGAGAGCTCTTTCTACAAGGCCTGCCTAGGATGCTGTACAAATCTCCGAAGGCTCACAAAAGATGACCTGAGATTCTGGTCTTTGAAATCCTAGCTGCCATGCTTCCTAGCTCTGTGATTTGGGGAAGTAACTCAACCTCTCTGTGCCTCAGTTTCCTCATCAATAAAATGGAAGCAACAGACCCCATAATTCCCAGGGGATGATGTGTATAAAGAAACCAACACAGCGCCTGACATGTAATAGTTAATAAGATGATTATTAGGATTATTGCTATTTTTGTTCATTGCATGAATTTTTTCCCAGCAGAGTATATTTGGTTCTCTGAAATGGGATCCCTGAACAGAAAAATAGTCATTCATATTTATAAAGCACTTTGCAGTTTCCAAAGCACTTTCAAAAACAAGACAAAAATAATATATCACATTAATCATGTATTATCGTTAACCTATATCAAGAACTGAGCCCCCATCCTTGTGAGGAGGGTTTCATTATTACTCCCATTTTACAGATGAGGAAACGAAGGCTCAAAGAAGTTACCTGACGTCACACAGCTAAGAGAGGGCAGAGCTAGGATTCACCCCTGCCCGTGTAACCTCAGACTCGACTCTGTATGATCCCGTTTGCTCTCCACAACAGCTTGGAAGTAAAAGCAGATGTTCTCCCATGTGCATGATTGTAGAAGAGACAACTCAAGTTCAACTGAACAGGCTTGTCCAAGTTCATTTATTCAACCAGTTGACTACTGCTAATCTGCTGTGGACCAGGTACCGTGCCAGGCACCAGGGTGAGCAAGGGGGTGTTAGAGCTGGGGTCTAGCCTGGCCTGCAGCCCACAAAGCCCCAGATACTAACACTGGTTCTCAGGGCCACTAGTCCTGGGGCTGGGGGGGCTGGTTTCCCCCGATATCAAGGACTAGGTCAAACCTGTTTCCCTCCCTCTGAGTTAGGGATGCAATGTCTTTTAAAAATATATATGTATATCTTTTTATTTTTTAGAGAAAGAGCAGGAGCAGGGGAGAGGGGGAGAGGGACAGAAGGAGACAGAGAGAGAGAGAGAGAGAGAGAGAGATTGAGAATCTTAGGTAGGCTCCATGCTCACCGCAAAGCTCAAAGCGAGGCTCGATCCCATGACCCTGGGATCATGACCCGAATGGAAATCAAGAGTTGGATGCTCAACCAGACTGAGCCACCCAGGCCTCCCAAGGGATGCAATTTCTGGGGTCAGGTGCTCTCACTAGCAAGATGGCCCCTGGAATGGAGGTCAGTAGGGAGGGCTTACATCACAACAGCCACTCACTTTCCCACTGGTCTGTTGGAGACCACTTTGCAAAGCCATGCTCTGCTGGGAGTCACCCTCCCTGAACCTCCCCAGACCCCTCCTCAGCTGCAGACCAAGAGCAGCCTTGAGCATTAAGGGAGGTTTCGGAGGGAAAGAGGGAAACGCAATGGTTGTGGGTACAAACAAAAGTGGCGCATGTCCAGCATTCCAATTTGGGGGAAAAGGTGTATGTGTTCACGTGCATACATGAATGTACACACACATACACACACATTTTATATGCCGCACTTTAGAAGGATTTCTGAATAGCATCCCTTGAGTCCAGCTCCCGATTCTCGCTTGTTAATCAAGGTCCCTAGGGATATGTGGAATGTCCAAATCCCTGAACTCCAGAGGCCAGGCAAGCAGCTAGGCCTCTGGGATGGCAACTGGGGAAGTGTCCTGAGGAAGCACCTGCTTACTCTTGCGGCCATATGCCTTTAAACTCAGGAATCTGTAACTCCAGGCCATAGATATGGAGAGTTTAATCCATGGAGAACGCTCTAGAATGTTGAGGAAAAAAAAAAATAAGCAAGAGTCAGAAAACCAGCTCCTATAAGATGATCATCTGGTTTTACGCGTGTCCTACCATCTTGGAATAGCCAAAGACCACATCACTGGGGACTGGTGGCCCTGGAGCTATCCACGCCTCGGCTGCCCCAGGTCAGGCAGGCCAATGGACAGCTCCTGACATAGACACACCTTAGGACACCAGAGCCTTGACTCTTCCTTTGCACCCAAAAGGGCGCTGTATTCTACAAACCAGATTACAACAATGGTAAAGTACCTTTATTTATTTATGTTATGTATTTAGTATGGCCACTCTGATGCTCACTCTAAGGGCATTATCGAAATTCATCCTCATAACAGTCCTTTAAGGCTGATAGTAGCTTTAACCCCACTTTACCTTTTACTGATGATGGATCTGAGACCCAAAGAGGTTAGGTAATGGGCTCGAGGTCACATCTGTACCTAAAGGGCGGCAAAGGTGATATGCAGGTCCAGTCTTAATGAGCAGGCCAGCCAGTTCTGGTGCCTTAGGGGACTTTCCTGCTGCTGCCGCTGAGGGGGTTGCTAAGATGAAGGCAAATTTGCCCTCAAGATGCTGGTAACATGATTAAGAGACAACCATCACAGGGGAACTCAGTGATGCCATCCTCTGTACCTCCACTAGTTTTGGGGGGTGGGGGGCCCACACTAGCCAGTGGGGTACAGGGTTCTAATGGGAGCTTGCAGGCTGGCGGGGAACCCGAGTTTCTGCAGGGGCCTGTGTGGCAGAGGAAAGCTTGGGCAGAAAGCCCAGGATATGGGACCCAGGTGTTGATGACGCCACAGCCAGCCAGGCAGGGGACAGCCTCCATCACTGCCTGTCATGCTGTGTGAACTGCTGGTTCCCTGCTGAGCTGGGCCAGGCTGACACACAAGTGCTCCCAAGGTGAAATTCAGGAAGGGTTGCAGGGACCTCACATGCAACCCTCACCTTCTTGCTGGCCTTCCTTTCCTGTCCCAGGCCCTGTTCCCGTAGCAACACTGATGGTGATTAGCAACACTGATGGGTGATTAGGGCTGGGCCTCA